CCCCTTTCACTTCGTATAAATGCCCCTATCAAAATCTGATGAGTGCCTCTTTTTCGTCGAAAAATGCCGTGCCCCTAATTTCAAGCGACTAAGAGCAATTTTCTGCAAAGCTCGCTCGCTACTCTCGCTCGTAGTTTAATATAGATGTTATCATTATGTAACTTATCAGAGGTCTTTTCAGTCTTCCGTTATGAGAATTTGCTTATAACCCCATCAGGATTGGGTTTTTCCTCTTTAAGTAATTTTTCGCACTGCGATCTCAAAAATCTTTAAAATTTTCCTCGCTCGCACGCAAATGAATTTTAAGACCATCACACCCAACTGCGAAGTATGATGCTTAAAGGTAATACAAAGTTTTGGGAAATTTTGAAAATTGGGTGGATAGTGAATCTTTACAATTTTGATATATTTGGATGCCCCTGTGGATGTATTAAAAGCACTAAAAAGATTAGCCCCTAAAACAATTCTGTTTTCGAGAAAAATTGAATATAAAAATCTACCGGTGCTCCCGGTAAATTTTGATAAATTTCAAATAGCGCCTATGGCCGTGCAATGGTAGCTGCGACCATGAAAATCTCAGAATATGTAGTTGTGATATATAATTTCCAAACGGAAATAGCTAATCAATCGTTTTTACTCAAGAAATATTGTTTCATAGCTAACTTAATATCTTGACCTTGAGAGGGAGCTATACAACATAAAGAGTTTATTTTTCATAATTTCATAACTTTAGACTCGATTTCAACCGCGACAACGATCAATGGATATTGTAGGAACGCATATGCTTCCAATATGTTAATTTGAACCAAATTCATGACCCCATACCAAAACTTTGTAATACCTTTAAGCAATATCTTATATGTTGTATTAAGAGGAACTAAATATTGAAATCATCCCTGATAATGTGATCACAATATAGGGGTATATACCAATGTTTAAAAAATTGTATATTTTCGCTTTGAGATTTTCCTTGGAAGATGCCCTTTTTCCAGAAAGTGCCCTATTTTGTTGGTGCCCCAACCCCCCACTTTGGAAGTCGGTCCGTTGCCTCTGCCCCCCTCCCCCCCCCCCCCCCCCCAACCTAACTCAACTATGACCTTGAAATTCTGAATGATAGCGCTAAGAAAATAACTCCTGCTCAGGCCGTCACATGCACTGACAAAATAGCATTTTTACCAAATCAACTGCCTTGGGCCTTGGCCAACGCTTTTCTAACGTAAACCACTGCTAAATAAAGCTTATTACGTAGGCGCTATTTCCAAAATCATCCGACTAAAATGGCAGACCTTGAGGAAAATAGTTCTCCCGAGATACAAGAAATGTATAGTGTTCAAATCGATCGGTAACGAGAGATGGTCTGACATAGTTATTCAGATTCCTTGGGGGTCAAATAATGTCAGTTAATGGTCATTAATTTTTCATGGCGTTTCGGGGAAACATCCCTGGGTACCAAGTTGCAATCCGAGTCGTGCGATTTGCAAAGTAGAATTTACGAAGTAGGCAATAATTTTGTAACAAATTTAACACAAAAATTCAATTGTAGTCCTTGCTATTCTTTAGTTTTGAAAGACTACCCGCATTTAAAAATCAGACAGCATATCTGATTGCAGAGTGTTCCTTTCCGTATCGAAACAACAACAAAGACCGTTGCACTCAAAGCGTCGACTGACGCGAGTTTCGACGCATCATATCATGGTGAGACGGTCCGAAACTAATTGCTAAATGGACAATCCACACAATGCGTTGAATTATTGGCGTATGGTCTTCACATGCTTAAAATTAGCGTAGGGTAATAACGCAATCCAAATGACGCCTCATGCGGAGCGGGCCGCTGGTGCACCGTGCGAGAGTGACATCGTGCAAAAGTGAATGCACTAAACGCATGGAAAAACGCGTGAAATCATTGGCGCATGCACTAATTGCCTGCAGGCTCGAACATGTAATAGCGCAATCGAAATGACGCGCCTTATGCCACGGGAATAATAAAACAACATCAAAGGGATAAAACACTTTTGCCCATTCTTTATTTATTGATAAATCAAATATAAAACATTCAAATAACAATAATAGTATATAATATAATTGATTTACATCAAGAGTGACAACTTAATACACACAAAATAAAATATTTAAAAAATGCATAATTGAAAGCTTGAAAGTATGGAGGTAAGTTAAAATAATCAAGATAAATGCAGAGGCCAACTATCATAAGCAAGGAAGCTTGAGTCGATAGCAGCCGGGAAGGGGGGGGGGGGGGGGGGTACATGGCGCTGTTCTAGGAGAATGTAGGGGAATAGAGAGTCACATAATAGATTTTGTTCAGAAAGTATCTGAATAAAAAGTGGAAAGAAATTAATAAAAGAAAAAAGAAGAAAAATGTGCAAGTTTGTGCAAGAAGTTGGAGTAAACCTTTCTTACCTCTTTTCATGAACTGATTGCGTCAATATGATTTATTCTTGGGAGATAAACCTTAATTGATCAATGAAGAATGATTAACGAACATTTTTAAAGAAAGTTCTGAGAAGATATTAACTTTAACTGTTCATGACTAAGTCAAAATCATTTCATGAAAAAGAGGTAAGAAAAAATTATTCCAACTTGATAGTCATTGCTCCCTTGATTGCAGCGAAATAGAATTAGAGAAGAGAATGGATAGTATTTTACTGAATGAGAACCTGCGACTGACAGCCAACGCATAAAGTGTTGGCTCGTGAAATCGAATCAGACGGTTTATTGTGTGTATAAAAGGTTACTCAGCTATCAGTGGTTGCATATCGAATTTTATCCCAAATCAAATAACGAATTCATGAATGAGTATTCTGGTAGATTTAAGGCGCCTCACTTTGAAGGGGAAAAGATCGGGTTGTCAACTTCTCCGTTGTATTGTATTATTTCTTTATAAATATTCGTGGTAAACAGTGCTTCTTTAATATTTGACATAGCATGTGACCCCGACCCTTTGACCGTTTAAATGCCCTTACAGATTGGATTTTTTAAGGGAGAATATTGTACCTGAACACCACATGAACTTCTAGAGACTGATACTGCACTGAAGTTCGATCCATAGTCGTGCTACAATTATGTTCTTGAAGATTCAACTTCTACCTATTCCGTCGCCCCCCCCCCCCCTCCCTTCTCTCTCCCTCTTTTTCAAACTTCTTATACATGTCTATTTTCTAATTTCTTTCCCTATCCTTCCTTCTCTCCTCTTGTTCTCTTTTCATAGTATTTCTCAATTCAAGTCATTCAAAACTAACTTCCTCTTTTTCAGTACTCTATATTAAATATATTATTTATTCTGTAACACTCTGAATATCGAATTTCTTTCAAGTCTCATGGGCATTCTATTCTCTAAATTATACATCGTAGGGATGAATCTTGAGTCTCTGTTTTTGGAATCGTTTTTTTTTTTTTACTATTTTTGTACTTGTATTAAAATTTGCAGATTCTTCTGGACAATAAATGGTTTCAAACCACTGAAAGGGCAACATTTTTTTATTTTTTGTTATGTTTGGGAATTCCTACTTGAACATGTGTAACCTTCAATAACTCATTCTATTTTGAAAGAAAATAATCAATGAAAGGAAATACAGTATGATCATAACGTAGAGATATTTTTATTCAAAGCATTCTTCCATTATACAGTACTATAAACACTAATTCTGTCAGTTTTTATACCTTTACATTTTATTTGATAATGTACATGCTTTACTAGAAAATGGCATACTGCTTTTAACATATCACACAAAGAATACATGCCCAACTTGACAGTATACATTACATTATGAGAAGTTTTTTATAAACTTTTATAGGAAGAAGCATAGCATTTGACAATGTACATATATATATATATATATATATATAGAGTGTATTAGCTCTAAGAACTAGAACCTCAATATTGATATGATTTAGATATAAATACATTCACAAGATAAATGTTGGAGACAGGTCCGTTGCAATCTGTGATAATTAGATATTTGTTAAATAAATTCAGAAAGACATACAAATAGACATTTTACCATTGGTACAAATAGCATTGTAAATTAAAGTTATGTCATCACCCGTTCAATTCCATCAATACACAGGTCAATGGTTTATCTTTCCAGTATTTCAGTATTTCTAGTTAGATGACAGTAACCAGCGGAAAATTGGTATCATGGCTAAAGCTAGGGAAATTATTTCCAAAGCTCTTTGGAAGCACATAGGGACATTACAACGTGATATGCTGATATGCGCTATACAAGAAATGAATATTATTATTTTGGTTCAAGTCTACAGATCTTGTCAGGTTACAGAACTGGTTTCATCCCTGAAAGCTTAGGCCGGTGAATATGTAACTAGGCTTCATAAAGTGACTGGCATCATGGTTCAAATGTACAAATCTGGTCTTGTGACTAGATCTGTGTGTTGGGGGGGGGGGTGGGGTTGAGTGTTTTTTCTTTTTTTTCTACATCCAAGAAAGATTGGGCCTGGATATTAATGATGTGCACTGGCATCATCATTCCAGTCTAAAGATCTAGTCTTGTGACAGGACTGGTTTTTATCCCCAAAAGCTTAGGCCAGTGAATGTGTAGCTATAGGCTTCATAAAGTAACTGGCATCATGGATCATGTCCCCAGATCTAGTCTTGTGACTCTAGTATTTGTACATTTTGGGGGGACTTTTCTTGGTTTCCTTCCCATTTTTTCAAAATTTGTCATCATTTCAGTCTCAGTCTAAAGATCTAGTCTTGTGACAGGACTGGTTTTCATTCCTAAAGGCTTAGTCCAGTGAATATGTTACAAGGTTTTATGAGGTACTCTGGCATCAAGGTTCAAGTCTGGAGATGTACATAGTCTGGTGACAGGAGTAGTTAGCAGCCAAAAAACTTTCAATGACAAATCTGCTGATAACCAATCAGAAGCAAGGATTTCAGTAGTTTATAACACAAATTGCCATTTGTCACTGATGACAAGTTTTGTGAAAAGCCCCCCAGGAGTTATGAAGTGATGTGGACGGAATCATGGTTCAAGTCTAGAGGGATCAAACCTCATGACTTTGGTGGTCTTTATCTCCGGAAGTTTGGGTTCAGAGAACTTGCTGAGCTTGGTAAGATGTTTCAGTCTCTTCCTCTCTTTCTTAATGGAGTTAGACTGTAGGAAGCAAAAATGACAAAATTATGTTACATCTCCATCATCATCATCATTTATTAAAGCCCCTCTGAACTATTTGGCCAGGAGGGATTAGACCTCTCTGTATGGTCACTGAAAGGTGGTTATCTCATCAAATCAGCTCTCAATTAACATAAGAAAGAGGGAATCATGAGGGACCAATGGTCACCGATTTGACTGTTATATAGAGGGCGCAAGTAGCTATAAGTAGTGCAGTGGGGCTTTAAAATTAACATTTCTTTCTCTGATCCAGGGTACTTTTACACCATGATGCACCATGATGACACTCCCTCCCTCCACTCCTTTTTTTTTTATCCAACATCCTCCTCATTTAGGACAACCTTACTGCTTTCTTTCACCACCATATCTTTCCATAAAGCCTTTGGTCTTCCTATCCCTCTTATGCCATCCACTGCAATATCCCATGCTCTTCCATCACCTTCCCCTTACTCAACACATGACCCATCAATCTCAATCACTTCTCTTGACTACCTCCATCATAGATATATCAAAATATGGTCACTCATAACCTGCATGGATCAAAACATAGGGGATGATTTAATGATTAAACTGCAGTGGTGTTTTGTTTTTCTTCTGTTTTCTAGAATGACATTAGCAAGGGGAAGGGGTCATTCACTCTGATTGAAAGGCCCACTGCAGACTGAGGGTCTTGCAGACCTTTGGTCAAGTGGCTCACAGCCAAAAGAGAGAGAGAGTGAAATATATATATATATATAGAGAGAGAGAGAGAGAGAGAGAGAAAGAGAGAGAGATAGAGAGAGAGAGAAAGAAAGAAAGAGTGAGAGAGATTGAAAGAGAGAGAGGGAGAATACTGTGTATATCGTTTTTCTCCTGAACAAAATACAGACACAGCTTTGTTTTCAAACTGTAAGGTGGATTTTGTCTCAAAGTAAATTTTCTCTCTGGTTTAGAAATGAAATAGAGAAGGGGATTTAATGTGTATTTTTGTATAAAGAATGGCAGATAAGTAAAAGAGACAAATCTGAAAAAAAATGTTTCAGTACTCCAATAGCAATGGAAGTTCCACTTCAATTAAGTGAGAAAAAAAACTCAGAAATACCTCCTCTATCTAATAAGCAACCAAATATTACTTAAAGCAAACACGTTTATAAATGAAAAGGGTAACAGAATTTAACAATTTAAAATCATTAGTCTTACATACCCATGCTTGTTTGGTTGGAGGACCTTTAGAATTGTCTTTTGCATCTTTAGATCTGGGAGTCTTGATGGTAGTCTGTGCAGGCTTCTTCTGAAAATAATTATTACATCATAAATGAAGCAAAATTTATAGGGCATGTATTTTATAAGTACATATTTAAATTTAAAAAAATAATCTATCAAAGTAGGACCATCTTTATTGGGAGAGGGCACTATATTCAGGGTTCTTGTTAATTTTTCTGATAGCAGGCTATTTATGATTTACAGGAGGCTACTAAAATTGCAAAAGAAAAATCTCTGTGCGCATAGCGCACATCACCATGTGCGCGAAGCGCACATCACGAGCGCGAAGTCCCTTGCGGCCGGGGTCCAGGGCCCGCCCAAGGGCCCTGGAAGCTTTAGGGTTTTAGATGCTCTCTGGTGCTATCTTAGCCTTATTTTTGAAGATATGACCACACTGTATGAGCCATAGTTTAATGATAAAGATCATGAATATTTTGGCTGAATAACTTACTTTTCATATGATATACAATATGAAATGAAAATGCTCCATTATTGTTTCTGATAAATCAATCATATTTGTGATGAATCTACAATTTTGAATTACATGATAATGATACAAGGTAGTCCTGGGCAAAAACGGTTAACTGACGTTTACAGGACCTTGTCAGTGAAGAAAATCGTTTGCGATAAAAAAAAAAAAAATAAAAAAAAAAATAATTATTTCTATAGACTCTAGGCCTACGAAAAAAAAATAGTTTTCGGTACTTTTCTTCCAATCGCCATGCGCTTAACGTTTATATGCAATATGCCACCTCTGTTTTTCGAATCGGTAAAATAGATCGCTAAAAGTAAAAGTAAAAATGTTACAACACGAAAAGAAAAGATCCAGAAAAAAACCTTTTTGTTGTTGTATTGAAACAATTATCAAATAGATATAAGGATTATATCGGTGTTGGACAAAGTTCTGAGTACATATGAGTACAAATTTTCATTTTTTATTCACAATACGGTAGATCTAACTTAGGATTACGAAGTATAAATAGCAATGCCAATGCGGGTGATCATTTGGACGCAGAGCGAGCTCTGGAGCTGGCCTCTTTAAATTATTGCGAGCGGAGTTCGCTGGCTTGAGCTTGTTTACGAACGTACGTCTACGGTCTAGTCTCTGTGACAGTGTATGTGTATAGCGTGCCGCACCGGTTGTGCAGCACTCGTATTCTGAATCGAATCGTGCATCGCCAAATCAATCACAGTTTCACACTAGGCCTGAGTCAAACCGTTTAACCGACGGTTATACGACCGCATTCATCAAAACCGTTTTCATTTCTCGCTCCGGTTAACCGTTATTTGCATACATTTTGGAATGTGCTAATAGCCGATGATAAAGATAATCAAAGAAACCGCAGTGTAATGTTACACCCTGGCCGCTGCGCGCCAGCTTTCTGGCAGCAGTAATTTCCATGAATGAATTTGTAAACAATAAAACAACCAGCCCCCTTCTCTCTTTTCTCACCCTCTTTATTCCCTTCTCTCTGCAATGTGTTCATCGCTCATGTACCTTTTCTTATTACTGCACTCTCAGCTCACAACTTTCTAAATGTTTACACATTCGATGGTCAGTTCCTCTCACATCCCTTCTCCCCCGAGTCTCTCTCTCTCTCTCTCTCAATATTAATATCCATCCCTTGCCGACTCGCCCCCTAAAATAATGTTCATATATAAATAAAATACAAAAATATTGATAACAATAATAATTGAATTTTTAGAAATATCAATCAACAAAGTCTTGGATATTGTGAGTAATTTAAGTTTTTGATCATTCTTCAATTCAGCCGATTAACACAGCCATCCTTTCTATCGAGTCTCACTTGTCTTACTTGTCTTACTCATGTCCCTGCCTCGTCCATGCAGGGACATGCAGGGACATGCTAGCCCATGCGTGCTCTCTCAGTCACACACACATGTACACACAAACCTCCGGCGCCCAAATACACTGTACATACACACAGATGGAGAGCTCATGCTTGTCACATGCACACTTGTGGGCGTGGCTTCTTGACCTCCCACTGAACTGGGTACGGTGAAAGCACGCGCGGTCACCAACCTGTAATTTATGCTGGTATCAAACTCCACCCACATAGCTAGAGAACCTTCCTCATTGGTCACTAACTTGGATCAGCTCATTGCAGGGTGTGTCTTGGGTGTGTGTGATACACACTTCCACATAATTTCATATGGCAATGATACATGCATGCAGGGAGCTCTCTCCCTGACCATGTGCAAACATTGCATTGCAAAGGCATATATAAACACGTCACAGATCTGCTATCTTCACAGAGTAACTTTGCAAGGTTAATCATGATATCAAGTTCAGATGAGGAATAATAAGACATGTTTTATGTTGTTTATTAGTGGTCTCTGTTTATCAGGATGACCCAATTTGTGCCATAGTCCGGGGCTGGGAATGCTCAGCCCGACAGTCTGAAGACCAGCAGGGTTTGAGATAGCGACTTGACCGAATATGATGTGATTTTTGTATTATTATTTTTTTTTTTGGAGAGGCTTACAGCCGGCTACGATTGCCGTTACAGCCGGAAAAAATAGCCGGTTGCCGGCTATTAACAAGAACCCTGTATTATATTATTATTATTATTATTACTATGTAAGAACTCTAAGTCATTCAAAAGCTATTCAGAGAGTGATAAAAATGCTGATTTTATGAATTAGTCAGTCTTATAGAAGAGAAAAGTAAATCCCCCTTGAAAAACCTACTTGTGCGACTGCTATTCTTAACTACTAGTATTATGAAAAATAGTTCCTGTCAGAAAAACAAATTATGTCACTATAAATCCCTTAATACATAGTGACATTTAATGCAGCTATTCTATAAATCACATAAAGTATGAACACAATACATGCTGTGAGAAATTCAAAACTATTCATCCTCGGGAATGTGAATATGCTATGAATCTATTGATCATTCTATACGAGTACTAACCACTGAAAGTTAAAAGGATAGTTGAGTTCTGTTTTCACACCGCAAATGCCTTCAAAGTGCATGGTTATTGCTCTTATTCTCATCTATGACATTTATAGTGCCCTTTTAGAACCTAAAATTGCTAAGAAGGTAATTTTAGGCCCCAAAATGTGTGAAATTTAGCCAATACGACCAATTCAGCTCCACTTTTTAAAAAAACATGGTGACCGTTAATTAATTATTTAATTAAAACTAACAATACATGAGCCAGTTTATTGTGGGTAATATAAGCAACACAAAAACATTGGCTGAAATATGACGTAAAAGGCGTTATTTCATTTTTTTCAACGTTTTTTTCAAATTTTTCAAAATATCTAATATATGTGGTGTATTAGAAAGTATTAGAAGTATTAGAAATTGTTATATTTCAGCCGTCTCTGAACCGAACAAAGATGATTTTGTCATTTAAATATTATGTTCTTTCAAATTTGACACTCAATATTTCTTTATCTCACAAAAAATTATTTTGTGTAGCGCCCTCTGCAACAGAACTCAACTATCCCTTTAACGCTTTAATTTAATCCTGAAGTCTCGTAAATCTGCACAGTTGAAATATTGTCATATTTGACTTGTACGAATTACCTTTCCATGTATCATGAGTTTAGGGAGTTTTGTATGAGTCAATCTCTGAAATCTGTTTGGAACATCACCAGGTAGTGGTTTGTTGAAAACATCAAGACCAAGAGATAATACACTGACATCGTCATCCTCATCAACGTCGTCATCATCAACCTCGTAAGGGAGAATGGGTGTCAGCTTGTAAGGCTGCTAGGTTAAAAACAAGTATCCATGAAAAATACCAACCAATTATGAAATATCAATAATTAGTGAAGAAGCAATAATGCGCTGAACAATACTGTTCATCTTGGTTCAAAGTCCCGAGCCAAGCAAGATTTTTCACCCAAATATCAATATGATCGCAGAGACCTCGGGGAGAACAGTTTACCCATTAATATACAAATATACACTGCCTTGAGAGGTTCTGGTTAAAACTATGTGCAAGAGGTGACTCCAATAGTACTTTTGGAGTCACCGAGGCCCATAGTTTAACCAGTACCTCGAATAGAAGGCAAGGTATATTTGTTTTATATCCTGCATCAAAAATTTATTTAAAAAAAAAAAAAAAAAAAAAAACATTTTTGGGAAGAAAAAAATTTAGAACAAAAAAAATGTCAATTTTTATCTCAAAAAAAATTTGAAATATTTTGTTTTCATTAAATTAAGATTAAAAAAAAATTAATTCAATTAAAAAAAAAAATTAACATTTTTTTTCAACTCCCAAATAGTAAACCAAAATAGTACTCTCATATAGACCTTTCTAAAAATAGCTCAAATATTTTTTGTCATGTGATGAGCTCTCAACCAATCAAAAGCCAACAAATTTTTGATGCAGGATATAATATTTATTATAATTATTAACGGGATATGACATAAATAGAATGAGCCTAAGAAATTGCTGGTCTAGTCTGTTCGCATGTGAAAAATGACCAGGGAGACCATGAGGGAAGTCAACTATGTACCAAATGGATGGAGAACATTAAGACCTGGGGGTGTTTCACAACGAATAAGATCAATTTTAAGTTGGACTTAAATATGGCAGGCCGTTCATGCCACTATTTCCTCTCACCGTTAAGATGTTTAGATAATATTTTTTCCTTCAGTAATGAATTTAAAAAAATATGTCAATTCTGTATATTTGTGACCATGATTTGTCCGTCCCTTGAGAGACCAATGCCAGTAAACGGTGAGAGCAAACAATGGCATGAGTGGCCTGCCATAGTTAAGTCCAACTTAAAGTTGATTTTAGTCTTTGAGAAACACTCCCCCGAAGTAATATAACACTGCAAAATGCAAGAGAGTTACAAAGAACAGAGAGGTATGGAAAAAATATTGCAATCAACCTCTGAGACAGATATACCACAATAGATGGCAAACTAATAAGGTGCTGTCCCTACTTTTAACATAGGTTGTGTTAACATCATCACAAAATGATTGAACATTTCTTGGAAGGGGACATTATATTGTATGGCAATTTTGGTGTGATATATGACCATTCCTGTGGTAGATGACACAAATGATGGATAGAATCAGGTATGAGTAATCCTAATAATCACACAATTTCAGTTAAAGTCATTTGTCAAATTCATCCAGGACATAAGTGAAAAGTCAGGTGATGTCTAGCAGTTTTTTTTTAAATACAGTAAAATTACAGGGAGAATGAGTACAGGAAATATTACACCAATTAAACATGGGAGGGAGAACAGTTATGATCATATTTCTACAATTACTACTAGTATTTTAATTTAAAAAATCACAATTGGTAAAAGAAATTCAAGTGTGAATGTTATTTTACATTACGGTGTCATATTTGTTTTGTTGTTCTCGGTTTTGTTGGAAACTTCTCATTCACAACAATACCTAGAAAAAGCAATCCTTAGATTTGTCCTACTCTTACATTAATTAAGCCAATGTGCAAATATGTGAATGGTAAAATCATGAGGCAATTTAAATATATACCGGTACACAAGAATTTCGTGTAAAGCATTGTCTCGTCCCTTTTTCTTTCCCCTATTTTGTAGTTCCTTTTGTAGTTACAGATTAGTTAATTTAATTACTCATTATTCCTAAGTATCATTTGAGGTGTTCAACATTTGTACAAGCATTACTTTTTAGTGGACCCCTCTGTTTCCAACATTTATTTCTTCATTTGTTGTAAATGCTTATAATTGATTTGTAATGTTTGGTTGGAAACATGAATAAATTGAATTGAACACCAATGGTGATAAAAACGGAAGAACAAGCTAGATGCAGAAAAGGTGAGTGCAGACTTTGGTGCATTTCATTGATAATTGGTCCTAATATACCCAATATTGTTTGGAATTGTGTATCTCAATTTTCATTATCATGATGTTTAACACGCCATGAAATAATTGAGATATATTTTCCAAATCAATAGCAGTGGTCACAACAATGTAATTGTATAGCCCAATAATCAAACGATAATATGTGTCTTTTGTATTGTTTTTCCATCCTTTCCATGAACATCAGAAATACAACATTGAAAATACATTTCTCTTCTGTTAACTCAACAGCTCAACAAACATTTGTATCTTGAGTAATCAATTTATTTACATTATGAATTTAAATTATCTTGAATAAACGTTTGTTAATTATTTTGCAAATGAAAATCAATAAAATCCCTGTGGAGGGAAAAATATGGAAAGAAAAATGAAATTATTGATATATATGCAACAAACTGTATGAAATTTACATTAAAATTGTTAAACCATATACCATCATCATCACTCTCTTAATACACTTCTTCAACAGAATTCCCAGAATCATTATAGCATTACCTCAAGTTATGCTCTATTTATCACACTTGCCATAGCATACATATCAAATCTTAAATTGACTTCAAATCTGGAATATATATCTATATATCAATCTGGAATATATATCTATAATATCAACGCATAGAGTTCATGCCAACTTTGGCTGGGGAGCTAGATCCATGATAACATCATTTAACATCTTGCGGGTCAATAAGTAATATTTCATATTTTGTATAGATCAAGAAGAATGACTGTGACTCAATGCTTAAAGGGAAGGTTGAGTTCTGGGGGGAGGTAAAAAATAAATTGTGAGTGTTTCATTGTTATTATGCAAGTGTGAAAGAACATCAGAGAAAAAATGTTCCCTGAAAAGCATGGCTCTTTAAAGAGAAGGTTGAGTTCTGGGGAGAGGTGAAAAATAGTTTGTGAGCATTATCATTGTTATTATTTAAGTGTGGAAGAACATCAGAGAAATAAGGTTCCCTGAAAAGCATGGCTCTTCAAAAGCCTACATATTCTAAATACGACATGTAACAGCTTAAATATGAGGACCACATTTTAATGCCACATGCTTGTGCAATCCCATACTATACATTTTTCTGTGTACAGTGCTTGTTACTTTTACCAAGACTGGGCCAAATTTCTTATAGTTTTGATGATTCCAGAACTTTGCAATACACACCAATACTTTCATGCTTTACGATCACCTTTTTCTGAGTAATTCTTAACCGTTTCTTTCACTAAGCGAATCGCATGACCAGAACTCAACTTTATCTTTAATGCCGTACACGTGTCGATCAACAAGGTCCTCACCATAGTTCAATACAAGTCATTTAATCTGTCTGTGTTTTCACAGATTCATGCTATTTATAGGCAAGTTATCGTTTGACAGGTTGTGTATATATAAACAGCTGACTTGCATGCCTCCAAAGGCAGCCTTTCCCTATTAATTAATGTTCTTCATATTTCACCTGATGTTTGTCATGTGAACATAATTCTTAAACAGGAAGAATAACAATATGGTCTACGTGTCAGACAAGAATGTCCCTTTCTAGCTTAGCAATCAATCTTAAACTAGCATTTCCCATACTGTTTGCTTTCTCCTCAAACATACAAGTGCCTTTGGTGTGAGGCTTAATTAAACAAACCCAGATGATAAAAGCTCTGATTTCTTGCAACCCTTCAAGATTGAATCGATGCAAAATGGATACAACCACTACATTCAATTTTGCAATAAAAAGAGGATAATAACATTATTCATTCAATCAATTGAGAGTAATATTCACAGTAACATTTACTAATTCAAATGACTTAATCATTGTACTTACCTGTACATATTCTCTTTGTTTAATTTCAGTTGTTTTTGGACTCTGGCACTGGCTTTCAAGAAGTGTTGGAGAACTCTAAAGAGGAGAAATACATAAAAATAACACTGAATTACAATTCATCTACTCTGGTGAATACGGTAAGTTTTTATTCCAATTAAAAAAACAATTTATATATTAAATGAAATAGGGGCTCTATATGAAAAATGTTGTCAATTAGCCAGAGTAATAATTAGTGGGCTTGGAATAGAATTTCTAGATAGACAGCGCTATACAAATGCCTATTATTATTATTATTAATGTAAAGCAATTTAACAAAAAACATTATTGTTGCCGATTTGAATAACAACATGTGATAAATTGAGCCCTTGAAATAAAAAACCTGTCCTATAACGGTTTAGGAAATAAGTCTGTTGTCTGTTTACCTTGTCTGCTTTCCATGCTTCAGTCATCACACAGAATACAGAGAAGTCACTTGAAGGTGGTACTAGAAGCTGGTATAGGCAGAGTTGAGGGAAGGAGGATATATTGAAACAAAATTAATCATACAAAAATAGAATTAGGCATCTATAGACAAAAGAGAGGGTGTGGGGTCAAAGTGTGGAAGTGAGGAAGAGGAGAGAGAGTGATAAAAGTAAGGAAAGAATGTGATAAAAGTAAGAAAAGAAGAACAAAGTGGAGAGTATGTAAGATATAATACTCATTACCTTGTTCTCTATTCTTTGCTTTAGAGAGAGATAAAGAGAAAGTGAGAGAGAGAGAGAGAGATAGAGAGAGATAAAGGGAGAAAGAGAGAGAGGGGGGAAAGGGAGAGAGAAAGAGAAAGAGGGAGAGAGAAAGAGAGAGAGAGAGGAGAAAGGAAGAGAGAGAAAAAATAGAGAGAGAGAAAGGGAAAGAGGGAAAAAGACAGAGAGAGAAGGGGTATAATGAGATGGGTGGAAGACAGACATACATGCTATTTTGATTATGTCATTTTACTCATGCCATTGGAATGGTTGTAATTATTGTAGTGAACATAGTTAAAACTATTTAAAAAATGCTGCATCTATTGCAGTAATTGGAGGGGGATGAAAATTCTTGTACTGACAAAATGTAGTAGTGATGGTGGTTGTAGTACACTGTAGAAGCAGCAGCACCAGCAGTAGTAGTAGTAGTAGAAGTAGAAGAGGGAGACATAAAAATACAAACAAGTGTGACAATGAAAATGATGATAATCAATTAATTGATAATAATCATAATAAAACTCCTAGTGGTTATTGTAACCAAAAAGTGATATGCACTAAAATCATACAACCTCAGGTTCATTCAAATATTCCTGGGGAGGTGAAGGCATTGCCAGTCTTGTCGACAATGTTGTTGATGCCACTCGGGTATTAACACTCTGTCTTCTCTGTTCATCATTTGATTCTTTATGAAGGGAGACTCTTGGAAGATCAATAGGGTCTGAAGAGGAAGACTGTAAGAAAAGGTAGGAGAGCAGAGAATGAGAGTACTCTTATAGAGTACCGAAGCTGTGACATCGTAAACATTTTTTTCAAAGAATTTCTCAATTTGAACTTTATTTTCCGAAAGAGCATCAAAAATAATGTCCTAAAGTAAAAAAACCAATTGAATATGTTAAGTATTGGCTGAGATATGACCATCGTAATAAATGGATTTCCTATAAGAACTCAGTGTTATTTTGCTCTGGTTTGTAATTCAATTGGTTTTCGACAATGGAAAATTATTTTTGATGCTCTTTCGTAAAATGAAGTTCAAATTGAGAAATTCTAAAAAAGATTTTTATGACGTCACACTTCACCACTCTATTACGCAAGAGATAAAGAGGCTAATATGATGCAATGGAAACATTTTTGATATATTTTAGACAATGAGTCTCAAAACTAGCACATACATGTCAAAATTCACTTCTTATTGTACATATGAAGCCTGAAATTGGAAGGTATTAGGAATTTGTGCACCTCAGTCCCATCATTTAAGAGAAATCGCAAAACTTATTTGTTTTCTTTGTAATTGTTTTTTTGACAAGGCGTTGTGCGGAGTTGTGTGGGATGTGAACGAGGTTGCGTACTGTATGAACCAGGCTTGGTTCATGTGGTACACAGCTTTATTGAATTACTTTACACAGCTTTACACAACAACTTTTACAGTGTATGCACTCGGAGAGCACAATAATTATTCTGTTTTATTTACTACTGTAAAGCGCTTTGAGCATGTTTATGTAAAGGCGCTATATAAATATCAATATGTATGTATGTATGTAATTAAACAGTAAAAAAATCCTGAAAACTGACATACCTGATCAGGAATAGAAGATTGAAAATTTGGAAGTTACTGATTTTAGACTGTCTGACATTATAATTAACTAGTCTCATCAAGATTTAAATGCTTCAAGTGATCATGCAACCTGCTTCATGACTTATACACATTTAAATGCTCTAAGATATTGAATTGATGCTTAAAGTTAAACACTGCAAAAGAATCTTATGGTTTTTAACAAGTACTTTATAGATGACATAGGTACAGCAACAGTGTGATAAAAACTCAGTAGCTAATGACAATCATTAAGAAATACATTTTTTATTTTTTACACAGAATACATCAGAAAAGGAAAGGAATCTAGGGTTCAAAACATTAGCTTGAAGGCCAAAAATAGTAATCATATCCTCCAAGATAGAAATGGTTGGCAGCTATGTATGATTTACGTTTGCAGATTTAACCGTCCCTCTGGCAGAGTTTGGGCTTCGATTGGAGAAGATATCATAGTGATCTTCAGAGGGTTTATACAGAGATCCGACATCTTCTGTTGCAGGTAGGACCCCAATCTGAAATTGATAGCAATCAAGAGGTATTTTTTACTATAAAATGATAAGACGGAATCGAGTTGGGGTTTATGCTCTAAAATAATACATAAAGCTTTAAAATTCCAAATGCGGTGAGTCTCGCCGTGACAGTAATGTCGTTTGGCAAGACATAAAACTAGATTCGCCACTCTCCACCCAGGTGAGGTAAATGGGTATCTGGTAGGAAGAAACGCCTTTTCATGGTAGCTTGGCTATAAAAGCCAGGGTAATAATATGATTGCAGGGTCCTCAGAGAGAACAGTATCAATACTGATGAGGCTACCCTGGGTAAACAAAACGTATTACTATTGTTATCATTATTACTATAAAATGATGATAAGATGAAAGCCAGTTGGGGGTTTATGTTTTGAAAAAAAGTACTTAACACTTGTGTTTTAAAATTCCAAATGATTAGCGCTCAAAAAGTATTTCACAAAGTTTGTTCAACTACCAGACACCAATGTTCTGCCAGTGTGAACAAAGGGCATGAGGGAGATGAACAATTCCACAGGCACTTGATTCTAGTGGGGATTTGAGCATGCCTGCCAACACGGGAGAGCAGAATCCTTCAAGAGAATTTCTCAAGGCAAATTAATCAGGAAAACATTTTTAGAAGCTCTTGAACATGACAGTCTTAGGAAAAGAGAGGAAATCTTGGTTATTAATTCCTTTAGTGGACATGAAGTAATCATTCAAAAAACACTCCAGCAAGATAGGAATAGTAATTAACACCTATGCCAAACAAAAGTACCTGCCACCCTTTCATAGCAAAAATTAGGAAACTCTCAATGGCAAAATTAGGAATAGAGTCTGTTTTTGTATGTACCTTTCACATAGAATATTTCAGAAAAAGAGAGGAATCTATGCGATTCAAAACAATAACAATTGAAGGCCCCAAAATAGTAATCATTCCTCCAAATAAGAATGGTTGGCAGCTATGTATAGAACACGAGATGAATTTTTTTTCAATTTTTTTTATTGAAACAATTCTCATACATGTACATAATAATAACATGCTCGTATAGACAATAAATATATAGTAAAATATAATATACTACTTCACGCATCAACAAAATTACTCAACAAAATATCTGCCATTTCTTATTATGAAGATCAAGATAAATATTTGGTATACAAAGTGATATACCATATACTCTAGAGAAGATAGATCTCAATGCACTACAGTCAAACCTGTACATTAAGACCACCTGCCTATTAAGACCACTTTTCTTGTCTCCCTTGGGTGGTCTTTAGAGACAGGTTTCACTGTATCAAGATCTCTTTTATGAAGAACACACCTTAGAGACTGGAAGATGAAATGGGAAGCACTTGTTGAGTGTGTTGGGCATTGTGAGAAAGAGGAAGTACGTATGTCCAAGGAAAGCTGTCAGAAGCTGTAGGCCATTGCTGATTAGTGCACTTAATTTGCAAGAAGAGGATTTCAGGAGAATAAAAGGGATGGAAAAGGGTTAAGGAAGAGACAAAGCTTTGTAGAAATGATTGAGGTAAAGTGTATTATAATGGACTTGGAGTGATTTGTTTTTACAAACACTAATGATCTAAATCCATTTACTTTGTTAGTGAAATTATTTGTTGAATTGAATTGAATTTGAATTTGAATTTACTGCCATCATCTTGTTCAAGATATACAGCTTAATGTTGATGTTGTTGTTTCCAATATAAACAAAAATCTGTACCCAAAAAGGAATTGGCAAAATTAAAAACAAATTACTTGTTTTAATAGGTGATTACATACAGCCATAACAAAAATGACAGGGAAGTATTGAAAGATTTATTTTTTAGAGATGACAGAATGGAACTATGATAAATCCGACTGAATAACAATAGAGTTTTTGTAAATTCACAATTGTACCAAAATATCAAAGAGTGGCATGAAAATAAACAATATTATCATTATCTGAGATAGTCTATAATCCATTAGAAATCATCACCATCTGTGAATATCTTTAAATCAAAACTGAAAGCACATCTTTTCAATTAACTGTAAATCTAACCATATCAGGAGCTCTTGTACATATTGCAGTAGAATATATACTTAATGTTGGACAGTTTCTGCGCTCTATAAATATATTATTATTATTATTATAATTGAGATGATTATCACGTACCTGTCCATTTTACGAAACACAGACGAGGTAGCGAGAATGAGAGACACAGGTTCAGTCATAAACCATACTGAGAAGAAGCATGAGAAGTGGATATAGAAAGCAAGCTTGTCAGGATGACTCTTCACTGTGTAGAAAACTCCATACATGGTCCAAATAAGGCCTGCATCAGATAATAATATAGGAACAATTTTTTATTAATTTTTGTGATGTATTCATGGTCCAAATGAGGCCTGCATATTAATAGAGGAACAATTTTGGTTAATGTTTGTGATGTAATCGCTCAGTGTTAATCAAGACGAGAGTGAACAGTAAATCTTGATATAGAAAGATCTTGGGACATATGACCCATATTAAAGCTAAAGGGTAATCAATGCAATTTCCCCCACTATAAATTTGCACTTCCTGTAAAAGCAATATATCCAATGTCCCTCTAATGACGCCTTTAGTAAAATATATATATATATATATATATATAAAAATATATACAAGTATATCAGTTCAGTTAAGGTCGTTTATGCATTAATTTTCATAAAAAACACAGCAAAAAGCAAATAAAAATACAAGTATATATATACATAGTAAGGCAGAGAATGTTCAGTTTATACAATGACTTCGAATGAAATAGGAGAACAAAGCAAAAGCCAATGGTGGCCTTGTTTATATTGTATATATATTATTATTATTATTATTATTTTATTTGGCAAATCAAGTCACATAAATACAACAATATAACAAACATGAATTGAGATTTTTTTAAAAATCAATAATAATAATAATAATAATAATAATAGCCTAATAGCCCACTCCAAATTTTATTAAATCGAAACGGAAATTCTTTTTGCCCAATTGATCGTGAGCCCGGCAGCCACTGAGCAGCGCCAGATCGACGTTGCATATATAAATATTGCAATAGCAGGTGCATCTGGTCGAGCTGCCCGGGTATGGAAAAAGTTAACCAAATAACTGTGATCCGCAGACCTTCCTCCCCACATATACAACCTTTCATTGACCTTTCATATGTATAATAGAGAAACAAACAAGATTTTGGTTACACCGAAATAGCTGTAATAACCGTGATGATGAATTATAAAGGGCAAAGATATCCACTCAGACAGTGCTCTCCATCATCCCAATTTTTACATTTTTGTCATTGTGTGCATTGCTCCAATGATCATTCCTACTATTACAATTGAAATATTTGTCAGAAACCCAAACTAATACAATAAAAATACCTTTCAGCAATGAAACAACACATACTCGACTTCAATTTGGATAAGTGAAAAACAATTCTCATAGTTTATTCAGGATTGGGGGGACAAGGTCATGTACATGAAGTACCTGTAATGCGGCACACGAGAGGACCAGCTGCAACCTTGATGCTATACAAAGCCAGGATATCTCTAGGATCCACCAGTATGTTCCGGTAGATGGAGAAAACCAGATAGGAAACAGCATACAGGGTAGTGAGGATTGTTAGTTTCACAGAACCATGTACGCTCATACGGGCTCTATATAAAGTCAAAGGCAATGATATATTGTCATAGATTATTCAGAATGACGACCTGGGACCCATTTCACAAAGCCTCTTTTCAATGACAAATGATAAAAATCAGTGACAAATCTGCTGATAACCAATCAGAAGCAGAGATTTCACTAGCTCATAACAAAAATTGTCATTTGTCACTGATGACAAGATTTGTAAAAATGGGGCCCTGATGTTAAGAATTATTTATACAGCTAGTATACACTATACAAGAAAATATAAAACAAGACAAAAGACAAAATAAAAGCAGATAGGCCTAGGTAACAGCATACAGGGTAGTGAGAATTGTTAGCTTTGTAGAACCATGTATGCTCATACGGGCTCTACATAAAGGCAAAGGAAATATCCCCATTGAAAACCTGAACCCCGTCCTATAAATATTTGCTATTGATCGCAACTTATTTGCGATTAATATCAATTCCAACTATGTACATCAAAGATAGGGGACTTCAAATTTGCCATTGATCAAAATATTTGCTATTGATTAAAATCAATTGCAACTCTTTATAAGACAGGCCCAGAATTATGAATAAATAACTGTTTCTTACCTATTATGTACCGTAATATGAAACATGTGTTACAACAACAAAAATCTCTACCTGGGAGCTTTGGTTATAAAAACCCACCTGGTAATTGTGTAGCCCTTAGAGACCAACAAGAGAAGAGCTACAAATATCACACTTGATAGGCCATACAAGATATCAGCTGAAAAGGAGAAGGTAGAAAGTTCAAAGATGTATTGCCTCATACAATCCTCAGACATATTATTGTATCATATTATTGTATCATCAGATAAAGCATGAAAGAGACATAATACTCTTCATTTGTAATCAAAGTTATCCAAATAAATGTTTACAGGAGAAAATGCTAAACAATTCCTCACTTGAATGAAATGAAATGACATGAAATAAATCTGTTGTACCCAAAGATTATTGCGATCCTGATAACTATTACCTGATCATCCAAATTGAATGATAGCTACCTTTATATTGCCGTACTCTTGTGGAAAGAGAGTAGGCACTTTGCAGAATTGAAATATTTTATCTGCCTGAAAGATAGCATACTTGCTTGGTCCCCTGTCTCTTGTAGACATTGATGATCAATGTTTTTTTTACCAACTTCAATCTCTGATGATAACTGTTTAGTAAAACAAAATAATTCATACAATTTGGACAAGCTGTTTCCCTTTGCTTCTGTACCCCCTCAAGTGTTCCAGATGAGTATCCAATATTCTGTGCCAACTAACCATGCAGGGTGGTATTCTGAAAACTATGTTACTTTTCATGCTAAGAAAATCATGTTAATTGTCATCACAAATCTAAAGTAGGACCAGTCATTGGTTAATTTTTTGCAAACTGGCCGAGTGTGCATACAGACATCTGCGTCAGCACCAATGATATGTGTTTATTCTGTGCAATGTAAATTTGTTACGACAATTACATTAACATACTCTTATTATAATTTGCTTGTTTGTTTATTTTTTTTACAAATCTTACAAGCTTTGCTTATCTTGGGGTCCTTCCGTTTTTGCTGTTCATTTTTATGTATTGTTTACTTTGAATCTTAATGGAAAATAAATGAATTGAATTGAATTGAACTCTTCACTAACATAAAAGATAACATAGTTTTTCAGATTACGGTCCCTGGAGTTTTTTTTTCTTTCTAATTAGGTTTAAAAGGGATCATTCAATACAGACCATGTTGAATAGTTCAAATCTTTATAATTCTACTTATAAAATCTCATCAATGCCTTACCTGTATTGCTCATGCATGCTATACCTACTCCATTGATTGCAAACTGACCAAGAGCCGTGCAATGGAGAAACAGAGAAGTCAGCTGGAGACTCAGACTGAGATAGAATAGTCTGTATGTCACATGGAGGAGGTGCTTTCTGGAAAGTGTTACTGCAAGGCAAAGATTTTTACTTTTATATTTTTTTATTTATTTATTCTCCGATTTCGCAATAAAAATATGATATACAATGTACAAAAAGAAAAGAAGACAAAATGAAGTCGGAAGGACACCCAGTTTAGTCAAGCCACAGACACAAGACTGTTCTTCCATGGGGTCCAAGATGATTGTTATAATACTAAATATATATTGTTTAGTGAGGAACACATGATTAAAATAAAATATATGTATTTCCTAAAAAATATATCCTTAATCCAATTAACAGCTTACATGAGATCAGGGACGAAGGCAATTTGCCTTTTTGAAAATACTTTAAGACTACATAGAAATTTTAGATTTGTGGGGAGATTATTGAATTGAATAGCAACATTCAAAGAATATTGTTGAAATTATTAAAATTCATCTCATTCATTCATATTTTTTTACTTTCAAATTATTTCAGCCTGAGGATTCTTCCTTTATTCCATGTGCGTGTAAAACTGCAATAGATTGTTCATCTTTGTCTTGTCTCAAAATGAAATGTTGATCCTTTATCTACAAGTAATTTTCTTCAATTTTTTTCTTCAATAATACAAACTGGATGGTTAAACACTGGATGGTTAAAAACTAGATGGTCAAAACAAAATATATGAATCTGCAAAATGATGACACAGGACAACCTGTGGTACACAAAACAATCACTCATCAACTTAATTACCCCATCGCATCAGGGGATCAACAGGGTGGTTCCTCTATGAAGCTTATGGGAATTAGAGTAATCACTAGTCATAGGGTAAAGAAACTGGTACCAATATTCACCAAAATACAATAGCCTCTATGAAGAAATGGATATTGTAATTTACAATTTTTAAATGAACAAAGAATTTGAATCACACATTGCATACCATGGTTGAGGGTTGCTATAAGAAGTATTCCAAGATATGAAAAGAAGAATCCAACATCAGTCCCCATTAAATCTGAAAGAAAGAAAACAAATTGCCAATGAACAAATAAATGACCGTCAAGATATACAGTTCTAAACGAATGTATGAGGAATTATAAATATGTGTGATTCATGTATTGCACTGGATATGCATCTAATCATTTTTGTATTTTAAAATCTTCTTACATTACAAAAGATTAGGTATTGTAATACAGTGGGTCTTTCCATACTTTATCTTTTGATTACATTTCAGCATATGAAAAGCTACTTTTTAAACAAACATTAGACCCAGTGTTATTGTTTTTTTTTTCTTTTCTTTGTTTGAAACGCATTCACAGGAGTTTTATAGAATAATACCTTTCAACTACCAAGAATTGCTTACATCTTTGGTCATGAGAAAATTCACGTTCTGAGGCCTTAAGTCCATTAGTCATATGAAGTCTGTAAGTCACGTTCCAGATTCCAGTTTTCTCTGAGCCATCATGACAGTTTGCAAGCAGGAAGAAGTATCGACGTGGCTTCCTGTTTGAAGAGAAGTCTTTGTATCCCTTGCAGAGAAGCCACTTTATTACATTGAGATCAAGAAATTTAAAGCAATTATTTTATTTAAGAAAAAGGTCAAAGTGAATACTGATCTGTAATTGTTAAGCTACATTTTTATCTGAGCGAATATTCAAGCTGTTGTTGACATCTTAAAACAAACAAGTCTATCAAATCGCAAGGATTGCAGAGATTACAGCATTCGGATTATAAATCCATTGTTAGTAATAATGATAATACATTCATATAGCACATAACAGTCAAACCTGTCTTAGTGGCCATCTCTCTATAAAAGCCATCTGTCTGTACTGGTCATTTTTTATTCATTTGATTTATAGTAGGGCATAACTGTTTTTATGCCTCCGCCACCGAAGGTGGTGCCGGAGGCATCATGTTTTCGGGTTGTCCGTCCGTACGTCCGTACGTCCGTACGTCCGTACGTCCGTCCGTACGTCCGTACGTCCGTCCCGTTTGACCGTTATCACAATATCTCAAGAACCATTAAAGATTTAAACTTAAGACTCGGGAATAGTATTTATCACCATAGGAAGACGATCTGATTAGATTTTGGAGTACGTAGGTCAAAGGTCACAGGTCACAGAGGTCAACTTATGAAATTCCTTGTATTGAGTTTGTTAGCGCGATATCTCAAGAACCATTTGAGATTTAAACTTCAAACTTAAGGATAGTATGTATCACCATAGGAAGAAGATCTGATTAGATTTTGGAGCACGTATGTCAAAGGTCAAGGGTCACAGAGGTCAACTTGTGAAATTCCATACATTGAGATTGTTATCATGATATCTCAAGAACCACTGGAGATGTAAAAACTTCAAACTTAAGGATAGTGTGTATCACCATAGGAAGACAATCTGATTAGATTTTGGAGCACGTAGGTCAAAGGTCAAGGGTCACAGAGGTCAACTTATGAAATTCCATACATTGAGATTGTTAGCGCGATATCTCAAGAACCATTTGAGATTTAAACTTCAAACTTAAGGATAGTATGTATCACTATAGGAAAACAGTCTGATTACATTTTGGAGCACGTAGGTCAAAGGTCAAGGGTCATAGAGGTCAACTTATGAAATTCCATACATTGAGATTGTTATCATGATATCTCAAGAACCACTGGAGATGTAAAAACTTCAAACTTAAGGATAGTGTGTATCACCATAGGAAGACAATCTGATTAGATTTTGGAGCACGTAGGTCAAAGGTCAAGGGTCACAGAGGTCAACTTATGAAATTCCATACATTGAGATCGTTATCGCGATATCTCAAAAACCACTGGAGAATTTTCACTTCAAACTTAATGATAGTATGTATCACCATATCATAATATCTCAAGAACCACTGGAGATTTAAACTTCAAACTTAATGATAGTGTGTATCACCATAGGAAGACAATCTGATTAGATTTTGGAGCACGTAGGTCAAAGGTAAAGGGTCACAGAGGTCAACTTATGAAATTCCATACATTGAGATTGTTATCATGATATCTCAAGAACCACTGGAGATTTAAACTCCAAACTTGTTTAAATTGCTCTATGGCGGAGGCATCATTTTCGACTGCGCGCAGTCAAAATTCCATCTAGTTTTTTAATGAATCGTAGAAAGTAGGGTATCATTTTTGTACTTTGGCACTCTTGTTCAATCACATTGCTCCTCTGATAGGACTAAGTAGTTAGTTCCCATTATTATTAATATCAGCATCATGTATACAGTTATGGGAAATTAATCTCAGAAAGATTTTTTTCCTGCATAAAAAAAAATGAGAGATCTGCTATCAGATGAAGATCTGGAAGTATTACATCACTATTGAAAAAAATTAAGCTTAATTTATAATCTAGCCTGTATTCAACTAACTGTACATTCAGACTAAGTTAGTGGTTTAAATTCTACATCACTCTATTGAAAAATATAAAGTTACAATGCTGATTTTTCTTTTCTTTTTGCCTGGCTACTATAAGATGAAGATATTGAAGTATTTATCACTTATGGAGAAAATATAATTCTAATTGATAGATTGCTTTTTTTTTTAGTACATGTTGGTACTTTTAAATGGAGATAATGAATTATAACTTCAGCATTAACAAAAAATGATTTTTTTTTTATTGATGTCTTTGGTTCAAAATTAATTAAACTGACTGCTATCCGATGAAGATGTTAAGTTGTCAAGTCACTATTGCAAAATACAAAGTTAAAATCCATCCTTTGGCATATAATTAACCTACACAAATTCTTAATCTCTCCATGAAAGTGAATAATAAATTTTTGATGTGAAAATCTAGCTGATATGTTTTGCTTGTTTGTTTGTTTGAGGTAAGCTACTGTTATCAGGTGTAGATGTTGAAGTATTGAATCACTATCGGAGAAAAAGGGTCAAAATTCAAACCTACAGTTTTTCTAATTAGATTGAGTATAATGTTGCTTTAAATAAAAACAAAGAACTAGGTTCTTGTAATTCAATTTATATTAATACAAAGTACATGTAGCTGCTATCAAATAAAGATGTGAACCTATTATCATAATAAACAGCAAAAATGTGTTTGATTTAATGATTTGAAAAGGGATACTTAATGTTTTCTATCCCCTTTTAATAAAGGTCATTCAATACTCACTTTTTCTTTTGATTTCCAAGTCACCTTGCATTGATCTGCTGTCTCTGTGAGATTGACCTTAAAACTGGGGTCAGTGATTTTTGAAAGCTTTTTGGTGCAAGTCTAATAAAATAAAATCAAAATTAAAGATGTAAGTCTAAATTGATATTGTATTCAATTGAATCTTATTAGTAGACTGCTTTTACAAAGACTGTTTCAATGTTGTATGCAGTTTACTTGCCCAAACTGAATATGTTATATAATTGTTTGTTGTTAAACTGGTCTTTTTTCTGGAAATTCAAGGTGGGCTCATAAAGTGTGAAATTTGATATAATGTTCATTAACTCTATCATAAAGAAGTAAAGAACAACAAAACACTAACCATGATTACTAATGTATTTTATTAAATACAACTTGTGATCCATGTATCAACTTTGTAACATTGCAAAGGTTAAAAAGGAAGGTCCACACAACCAATACAATATGAATTTTCATTGATCAACAAGACAAAACTTGCTTAAAATTGTCTTCTTTTTCTCTTTCACACATTTGATGAGGCAAACTTACCAAACTTTCCTCGTTTTTTCTGACAAAAGGCCATTGATTGACAGAGTCATCAAACATTGCTATCTCATAGCCATGAAGATTCTGTGAGGTAAGCAGAAATGATTAAAATTATGAAGGGTCAACTTATGCTTGCAGTTTCCAACTCATGATCTACACGTATGAAGGCTGGGAGTTCAGCAAATTTATTTCTGGAATGCATCAACATCATCTACTTGTAGCACCTTCATATTACATACCTAAACGAGCAATTTAAGTATGTCATCAACAAATAGTCCACTAAATGATTACATCAATACATGCAAGTCTACCAAAATGAGTACAAGCTTTTGAGGTATCAATTATCTCATTACAGTATTGTCTATATCATGCCATGTGGCAATGAATATTAGAAAGGCTACTTACAGAAGGGAAGAAAAACTTGAATTGCAGGAGGTTAACATTGTCAGTTCCATATGCAAATGACTCCAGGAAAACAGTATTCTGGGATGAATGAGAACAAAAAATGACAAAAGACATTTTAACATCTTGATAAACACCTGTGTAACTGTTGTTCTAGATCCAGATAATCTACATTTCTAACATTATATAGACCTATGTCTAAATATAGACCTAGAAAGTAGAAGTAGAATCAAGTTCTATTCCTTCAGGAAATTTTTGAGTCAAAGTGAAATTTTAACAACAAAGATTTAACATTTTCTACCAAAATCATTTGGCTTATATCATAGACTATATCCTAGATATCGAGTCTAGACTAGGTCTTCATGGTCTAGGGTCATCCCAAAACTTTAACGTTTGACTTTTGATCTAGATCTATCTAGACCTAGACCTATGTCTATTAGAACTAAGAGAAAGTGAAGAGGTTTGAGTTTTATAACACCCATCCAAGCTACATCCTAATTGTTAGGGATCTGCTATTTTCATCGGATTTAGCAGAGCTGAATCCAAATTCTAGGTCACTATCAGTGTGGCCCATAAATAAAACTTAAAAGTGCTTTTTCATTAAAACGTTTAGGGTCTAGGCCTAGATCTAAGTTTTAAAAATTTAATTAAGCTTGGCCTGGCTCTGGGGCAGGGAGTTCATTCATTAATCATCGTCTTCTTATTATCATCTTCATCATCATCAATCTCTACATTATTTACCATATAGATCTACCATTATTAAATCATCACCATCATTATCGTCACCGTCACAATCATCCTCACCATCACCCCCACTGCACTAGGCCTACCATCATCATCATCATCATCAGACATCACCATCACCCATCAAGCTGTCAAGTATCATCAGACATCTGTGAATGTCATCAGTCACCATCCTCAATCTTTATCTAACATTACAAGTAACAGTAACATTTACTATTTAGTGACACACTGAGCCGTCTTTAAACTATTATTACTAACTGAGTATAAGTGATAGAAACTTAACAAAGTGATACTAGATTATCATCTAGGCCTAGTACTAGTGAGAGACAGAGAGAAGAGTAGGTGAAGAGAGCTTGCAGTGGCCAGTGCAGTGAAGCCTTATTCAAGGCCAGCTGAAGACTAGACCATAGGCTAGGCACAGTGCACAGGCTAGGCACGCGCAGCGCAGCGCAGGCGACACGTCGGACGGGGTCCGCTAAAATTATGCCAGGGTAGTGTCTAACTTTGTTGGCTTTTTCTGGTCTAGTTACCTTGTAATTGTTGATGGAACCCTCTCGTATTTTTCCTTCCGACTTGTTGATGCCCAAAATACAAAGAAAAAGGAGCAAAGACATCATTAGTCACTCAGATTCGCGACATAAATCTGACAAAAAGACGTCCAGACTTATTTCAACACAGATCTTGTCAACTATGCAAATTATATATGCGCGTACTTTTAATCAGATCATGCATATGCATGATGCGTGAGGTTTTAGCTATTATGACGTAACAACAAATACAAAATCTGTGTATATTTTCTTACGAATGATAACATTTAAAGTCATTTCACAGGCATGGCCGGATCTGGTTTCTTACCAGCTCGACCTTATGCATTTTAGTCAGACAACTAACCCTCGATGTCTTCCTGACACTATTCCTAATATTTAACCATACCAGGCTTTAATATGTGCCATTGATACGATGAGAGTTTAACTTACATACTTTCCTAAGTTAAAGTTTGAAGATGTTAAAACAACTAATTGATTCTTATATGCAGAGTGATTTGATACACAAATCTTGATAGATTGGTGACCTGAGCTGCGCGCTGTAAAATATTTTCTGACGAAAAGCCATGAAGAAAACTGAGATTCTGTGATAAGATATTGATGCTACCAACACTTATCGTACATGCCCCAAGGAAATCAAAATAAAGCGAGGGGTATTATTTAGTTCCATTGCCACCCGCAGCCCAAGCAATGTTGCTCAGATGACGTGAAATGCTCATTCAGGGACAAGCAATAGCGCAGCTACGGGGGTGCATGGGCTACCACCCCCCCCCCCCTCCATTGAATGTCAAACAATAGATGAAGGGGGGAATTGAGAGAAGCAATCTGAGCGAGAAAGAAAGGGATCGTGAGAGACGAACTGTCGCCCCAAATCGTCTTTTTTCAGGCTGTGAGGCCTTGTTGTACAGTGCGCCAGCCCAGAAAAAAACGAAACCGAGAATTATCGATGTTTTATCATAATTTAATCATATTTATAATTAAAAAATGACACATATTTGTAAAGCTTATATCCTCCTATTTCATTTGATGCAACTCATATGACGCATATTTCACGCATGAGTGATTAAGATGAATTTGAAGAGAGGAAACCAAAAAGTCATTTGGCGGACGGTATCTGAATTTGAAAGAATAAATCACATTTCTAGAAAGTTGTGTTTCTGCCCTACTTTCATATGACACCTCAGTCAGGACAAATGAGCTAGGAATAACAAAGTTCTGTTTGTTTTAAGTAGTGCTTGCATTTCATAATTTTTTTAAACGAATTCTTTTTCACTGGCTGCCTGCCGGAGCAACAAGCAGAATCGACAAAAGACTTAACTCCGTTTCGTTGACAATCAGCCATGCATTAAGTCTTTCGTCTACGGCTGATTGTCAACGAAACGGAGTTAAGTCTTTTGTCAATTCTGTTTGTTGCTCCGGTAGGCAGCCAGTGAAAACGAATTCGTTTGATAAAATTATGGAAAATGTGGCTGCAATTTTCTACCTTTTATTTCCTTTATCTCTCATATTTTCTACAGCTAGTAGCTTGACTTTAAAACTGACATTATAACGATCATTATTGTTCTTTGAAATATTAAATCAATAATATCAATAACCAGACGTGTACGCAGGTGGAGGGGGTTCAACCCCCCCCCCCTTGCCTTTTTTATGTGTGTGCTTTTGAGTACCCCCCCCCCCTCTCCCCCTTTGTTTTTGTTTTAATTAAAAAAAATATAAAAAAATAATTGTAATGAGTGACCCTAAAAAGCTGACCTTACCCCCCCCCCCAAACGAAACGAAATATCGATCGAAATTTATGGGACCCCCAACAAAATATGTCCTCTCACCCCCCCCCCCCCCCCCCCTATCAGGCTAGTATTATTTTGTTGAAAACGAGTCATTAAAGTCTTATTTGATAGAAATTTTGAACAAGATAAAAACTAACGGGGAAATGCGATCGTACAAACACGGCCATTAAAATGACACGGAATGCTTCAAGGAAGAAAAAAAGGCGGGATAAATAAAATAGAAAAAATGTCGTGACACATTACACGAACAAGCAAATGTGTTTTGGCACGCGGAATCGAAATCAACCGCCGCGGTGAATTTCCACGATCAAAAGATTGGGTCGGGGACAGTACCCGAAACAGAAGACGACGTATGGGATTTTAGAGGATTTGTATGACTTGGGTTTTAGCGCGGTCCGCTGGGAAAACATCAAGAAAAGGAAAGCATTTTGGTCGGCTTAATCAGATCCGATGTCATTCTTGACAAATCCTTGCATTCCGATCGAGATTGTTTTGCATTGATGTTTCTATTTCGTTGATCCTACGCGGAAATGATTTCTAGCCCGTTTTCCCCTCTGTTTGGTGTTTTTTCCTCTTTTTTTGGGGGGGGGGGGGGGAGGGGGCAGTTACTATTTAATGCAACCCATAAAACAAAAAAGGGAGCCCCCTGCATCCGATCCTCGCAAAGTGTGTTGTATGAATTAGATTATTACATAAGGGTCATCCAATCTTGTATTAGGGTCAATAATCATCAAATAGTATTTTAAAACTTCATGAACGATTTTAAAGTACTATAAGATTTTTCTGGAAATTTTCCGCTCTAATGCCATCGACCTTGCTCTAAATAAACGAACGCATTAAGCATCATTTATGATGGAGACAAAGGAGATTAAGAAAAGTGTGAAAAAGGCATATGACCGAGTTGTACTAATGAGGTTTAAAAAAGCAATTACGTGTTATAAATATTTGAAATAAAAAGGCATGTTTCTACACAATTATAATGTGGTTCATTTTGATGTTTTATTTAGAAAACAATGAATAAACTGTTATGGAAAAGATATCCATTTGGCATTTAATAACTCATAAACAATAGAAGTAATATCTATTTGAAAAAGTCTCATTGAAAAGCAGTCTTTGTATGATAGAGTATAAGTCCCTCTTGTGAAATGAAATTGTGTCATCTATTAAATTGGTCAAGAATAACGTCTTCTTACCTATTCGCTCGCTTTCCTCTCTCGTCAACCGTCACAAGCAGGTGTTTCGCCTATACATTCGATGACACCCCTTTGCACATTGCCTTAATACCCCCCCCCCCCCCGGCAAGAAAGGTTAAGCAGGATTCATCATGAAACCACATCATTCGCGTAAACAAATCAAACGAAAAAATAATAGGTCTATAATGAAAATTAAGTCTCCATCACAAAATCACATTATACACCCCTGTTCAAGATCCCCCCCCCCCATCCCCCCCCCCCCCGGGACTATAACTTTCAATCTCGATCCAATAAACAGCAAAGATATTTGCGAAATAAAAGATTTTGCATATGTTTATGCTAGTGATTGATGTTCAGTGACTTTTATGTACTAGTGACTTTTTTTTATCGCTTTTTTTTTTTTTACTAAATGAACAAACTCTCTCCTATCTTGGCCATCGTGTTTGAAGAGAATTGATATTTTGCCATCATGGATCCTTCCTTTATTCGTTTTTTCTTTTGTTTCCGGTTTTTGATTCCTTCTTTTTCCCCTGCTCAATTCCCTCTCCTTTTCTTTTTCTCTTCCCTTCCGCTTTCTATCCATTTGCGTCTATTTTCATCCATCTCCATCTTCAATATACCGCATCCAGCGACAAGGCGAATGAGAAAACTTGAGCACCAAGAAATACGACTCCTTAGTTAAGGATTGACGAAATCATGGATATGAATTTCCGAGCCCCATTTAAAACACCCCAGCGATTTCAGCAAATCCTAGGACCGGGTTTGTCTCTAAGCTCGATATAGTAAGGAGAGAAGAAGGGCCGGTCTAATGAGTATAATGCCCACATGACGTCAGTTGAGGGATATGGGATTGGGATGATCATGAGGGGGTATTATAACGAGGGAGAAAATGATGAGGGATATGACATCTTTCCTGGCGTGATGATCAATATACGGCGGAGAGAGGATTGGTGTGGTTTCGTCTCTTCTCGTCATGGATCTATTGGGATTCTGATTCTGATACGGGCGGGGGAGGGGGGCGAGCGACGGGGGTTGTTGCCTGGGTGGTGTGTAGAGGGGTTCGTAGTGGGTCTTGTGGGTCTTGGTGTCTTCACGGACCATTTAGAGTGCACGCTTGTTTGTTTGCTTATTCTTTTTCTACCCCCCCCCTCCCACTCTCTCTCTCTCTCTCTCTCTCTCTCTCTCTTTCTCACCGTCTCCCTTGCATCTTATCTAGACCCTATCGGTAAACAAACCAATTTTGTTTGAAGTAAAGTTACTGTATTTGAAATCATGTAATAAGATATGATAAAACATAAATCTTTCTTTAAATATTTATTGTTCCCCTAATGATCGCAGTGAGAGATAGATTTGGAGAGATGCGAGATGCGATAAATAAAGTCATGCTGCCACTTATTCTCTCACTCCTTCTCTTAACTACGTTTCTCTTTCTCCCTCATTCCCCCCTCCCCCCCCCCCCCTCTCTCTCTCTCTCTCTCTGTCCCTCATTCTTTCTCTCTCTGTCTCTGTCTTTCTCTGTCTCTCTATCTCTCTGTCTCTCTCTCTCTATATATCTCTCTCTCTCTCTCTCTCTCTCTCTCTCTCTCTCTTCGTCTCTCCCCTCTGTGTCTCTTTATTCTTCTTCTTCTTGTCACTATTTAAACAAAATAAAATTACTGTATTTGAAATCATGTGATGAGATATAATAAAACATGAATCTTTCTTTAATATTGTTTCCCTAATGATCGCAGTGGGAGATTGATGTGGAGAGAAGTGAGATGCGATAAAAACAGTCATGCTGACACATACTTTCTCACTCCTTCTCTTTACTACGATTCTTTCTCCCTCATTCTCTCTCTCTCTCTCTCTCTCTCTCTTTTCTCTATCTCTTTTTATACTTCTTCTTCTGCTTTTCATTATTTTCCCCCCTCTTTTGGGGGGTATTTTAATTATCATTATCAGTTTCCTTCTTCATGTTATTTATCGTCGTCTACCACTAATTTCTTTAATTCTCTTTACTATAGTAACTCCTGCACATTTTCCTATGTGTTTTTCTGACGTCAGCTTTACGATCTGGGGAGTGCATGACTGGGGCAAAACATAGATTCAAGTTCAAGGCTACGTGACATTGGCCATTTGATAATCAATAGTATGGATTCACACCCACTTTTCTCCTTCCTTCCTATCACTTTTCCTTCGCAAATTATCCTTCTGAGCGTAACATACCATATTCCCGTTTTTTCTGCTCCTAACACAATCAATCCACCGAACCGACTCCAAATCGACATGTGCCCATCTTAGAATTTTGGGATTGGGAGGAGGGGGGGGGGGGGGTATTATGCCCCTCTCTTTGCCTCCTCTAGAACCGCTACTGAATGTCGGGGTGACTGGGGTCTTAAATACTTCCTCCTGATACAGTTCTCCTCTTTGGTGCACTAATTATCTTTTGTATTTATAATTATGTGTTCCTTCAAAATTGGCCTCTCTCAATGCCTGTAGCTTTCAATTTTTTTTTCTAATGATCGCAAATGAAAAGTATCCTACATGCAAATTTCTCTCCCTTCTTGACTCTTTTTCTCTATCAATTTATTCCTCTTTACCACCCCCCCCCCGGCTCTTCACTCTCTATCTCCCTATCTCTCCCTATCCCTCTCACTCTCTATCTCCATAAACTATCTCTCTCTCTCGCTCTCTTAGCCCATGTGTGTCCATCTATCTGTCTGTCTGTTATTGTCTCTTTCGCATTGTCTCTCTTGCCCATAACTTAGTTACCTAAGGTACTTAGAAATATCACATGCTCATTAAAAACAAATGGATAATAATACAGTCACGTTTATTTTATTCGTTTGATAAATTCAATTTATAATAAAGAAAATCTGCAGCACTCTTCAACTAAATAGGTTATGAAAATCTATTGACATTATACACCTCTTGGAGGATGTACTTAGATATTCTACAGAAACTAACGTCACATTTCTGAATTATGACAAATAACGTTCTTATACCAACAAATTTAAACAAAACCTAATTAAATGCATCCTTTGCTGATGATAAATCGGAATCCACGTACTGAGAAGAGTAATTGAAATATATATTCAGTTTAGTTAATGGACTTGAACTTCAGAATTTGGACCTAAATTTGACAGCCCCCGCTTTTCACAAGGGTGATGACTGAAGTATGACAAAGGCATTATTGCATAAGTCAGTTCATTTTGAGATCCTGTGTACTGGTGGTCAATATTTTTACTAGATTTTAGAAATTTACAAATTAATTGTCTAGATGTATTAGTATCAATTAGATTACATATTCCCCTACAACAACTTAGAATTAAATTAATACATTCGAAAATCAAGACGAAATCGGACGATTTGTTACCTTTGATTTGTGGTTTATTAGCTTGATCATCTAACAACACGTCATCTCTTGGAATTAACATATTCCCTTGGAATTTAGATATTCCCTTGGAATTAACATATTCCAATCCAATAATTTGCATATTCATAACAGTATAGCAGAGTTTCAAGCAATTTGTTTGTTTACACTTTGCCACATCAACTAAAGAAATTTTACCTCAAAAATAACACACATCAAAGCTAACACACTGGACGGAAGAAGAAGATCATAAATTCGACATGCTCACATTAGGATCCTGAAATAACATTGCTTTACACCATTTACCCTTAAGATATGTTTTTAATTTAATATAACACACATTTCCCAAAGACCTCAGCCCAATTTATCTCAGGCTCTGTGTTTGACATGTTAAGTACATGCATAGTGGCAAAGAATCATTTGGTCACTTCTTTTAAATTTCAGAGCTTAGTCTTTCACATTCCCTTAAACTTAAGACACAAATCTACAACCCTCTGATAGATAATTTAAATAGTACACAACCAGAGGCTTTCCAGATACCCATGCTATAAAATGAATGAATTAAAATACTGCTTTCCGCACTTCACACAAACTTTCTCTTTTTACAGTATAGTTGAATGGAAAAATGGAATAACACAAAAGAATAAGGAATACATAAAATTTTGGTTTCCACATAATGAATGCTTATTATTTTGTTTCGAAAACAGTATAAGTATCATCATCATCGCAACTTACATATTGATGTTGTGTGGCTTGCTCTTCTAGGCGCAGACACATATAAAGCGCAAATGCATGGAACAAAAATGTCACCATTGCATAGCAGCTGTTCCCTTACTAAGAAAGAAAGTTCTCACATCATTGCATGTAAATCATTATTGTAGTCTCAACAGACATGTAATAAATGAAAGAATGAGAAGTCTTCGATAGCACAAGGAGAGAGAGAGAGAGAGAGAGAGAGAGAGAGAGAGAGAGAGAGGGAGAGAGGGAGCAAGTGAGAGAGGGTTCCTTAACCCAAGAATTAATTCAAATTTAAAATCACAATGTTAATCCATCTTTACCTTCATTTTAACAATAAAACAGTACAAGGAGTAGCAACAGAATAGAGAGTAGCAACAATACTACTGAATAAAGAGAGAGAGAGGGAGAGAGAGAGAGAGAGAGAGAAAGAGAGAGAGAGAGAGGGATTGGGGAATAGTTGTTATTGTTTTAAGTACTGCACATGAGACATATATCAAAACACTGTCCTATGAAGTTAAGCTCATCAGGAACGTAATCCATATTCCTAAGCCTTTCAGAGACATACACAGTCATTTTAATCTTGCATTCGATATACATAACCCATAAGTCCTTGCACTTTTTAAATCCTTCTGTGCCGTAGTGGCAAATCCCATCCAAGAATGTAAAGTGTTGAACTATGTGTTTGGACTAAACATGGTTGACTATTTTCCATGAATAATGAATATGTAACATTACTGTGAGCCTCCCCCTACCCCCTCAAATTCTAATTCTGGACCTATAAAATGTAATACTTTCAACACGGAGCCCATGATTTACAGACCCTCAAATGCTAATCCAGATCCCTAGTGCAAAGAGTAGTATTTCAACTATAAACAGGGTCACATCAAATGTAAAAGTGCCCATCAGAGGAAACACATCTTGCAAAATTAGTTTTGGAGACAGAGAGAACCAATTAAGATGGCAATGTAAACAGGGTTTCAATCCAGTGGAATCCCTCCTCCCGAACTCATGCTCTGGGGATCGGTGTCATCCAGCATCACCTCGGTCGTCATGGCAACAAAGACCTGTTGCAGCATCTCCAAAGCTTCTCTGGCTCCGGGCTCCAGACCTTGGATGTCTTCCAGCGTGCTGAGATGTTCCCTGACTGGAGCAACATCGTTCCCTGCAAAACAAATGGATCAAGGGTCAAGGGAAAGAATAAAATGTCTCTTTTCTCCTCTTTCATCTCATGAATATTTTAACACAACAACGTTATGATCTTGTCCCAGATGGCTTTTGATAAAGATTATACTGGCTTACAAACTTCATCTTGTTTAACTAACCAGGGGGTGTTTCACAAAGATCCTAAGTCGAACTTAACTCTAAGTTTGACTTAGAAATTATGGAGAGCTATTTCGTCCTTGTTTTCACGAAGTGACGGTAGTGAGGAAAATCGTAACGCAAAGTGAATGCAAATTTTTTTTACTACCGTCACTTCGTGAAAACAGCGACGATTTGTAGCCTTAAATTAGAATAAATTGAACAGTGAAAATTCAAGTATTTTAGACTTTTTATAAATTCCACATCAAGAACATGAAATCTCCCATGATAATAGAAAATATGAATGATTTGAATCAACATTTTTGCCTTATAAAATAACTTTTACAAATATTTTCATAGATGCTAGCGGCTTTCTATAATTGTTAAGTCCAACTTAGAGATAACTTCAACTGAGGATCTTTGTGAAACACCCCCCTGGTTAGTTAAACAAGATGAAGTTTGTAAACCAGTATAATCTTTATCAAAAGCCGCCTGAGACACACAAGATCACAACGTCGTGGTGTTAAAATATTCATGAGATGAAATAGGAGAAAAGAGATAGAATAGAACAAGTACAAGACAGTTATAGCTTTCCTGCTATTTCAATAATAGATGAGAAGGGATACATAAACATGGCATGAACATCAGTACAAAATTGGACAACAAACAAGGGTGTTTATGTCGTGGCTGAATTTCCTTACATAAATCAGGAAATTCATCGAGGCTCTTGAAATCGAGACTTACAGGTACTAGTAAAAGATGATGGGATCAAGAAATAAATTCTCTTAACTTACCTCATTTTTTTAAAGAAAATACCCTTTAAATGTTTGCACTGCATGAAACATCTTCAAGTTTTAAGGGTTAAGTGTAAATAATAATAATAATAATATTTAATTTTTATACAGCGCTTAATACAAATGCCCCTAAGCGCTTTACAAATATACTATTATCCCGGTCATTGAATTCAGTGCTTGCCCGCACACACTATGTGCACAATCTCCACTCCCTGGGGAGCATTCCAGCCCGGCATTACTTGATGCTCACAAGCTGTTTGACCAACAATGACGGCCACATCCTACCAGGTACCCATTTGACACCTGGGTGGAGAGTAGCAAGTGCAGGTTAATACATTATTTTTAAGTCAGATTCACTATTTTATGACTTTCTCATAAATGAATTTGTGATTTTTTTTTTACGTGCCACCTGTTGATAACTTTAATGCTACAAAACTCAATTATTCCTATTTACAACATATCAAACCATTCAAAACTACTTCTACAGTTAACTAAATTATTCATACCCTTACCAAGTTTTATAATTGTTCAAGTATGTGAAAAATTCATTTGTCCCTACATGTATGTATGTTTCTTGAGAATGTGACATATTAAAGCTTACATTTAAAAGTATTCAACAAAGGCACTTAACTAATTCAGCCAGTGCACCTTTAATTTTGGAGTAACGAAGAAAAAAAGAGGAAAAAAGATCAAATTTTCAAGGGGGATGAATAATTCTGTTGTTTACTCTAATATAGACAGTTTGCGATTGCTCGACAAGTACCGTATTCAACCATATCTTTATTAAAGGTATTGGGTAACTTTGCCTCTGATTCTAAACAAAATCCTGGATTTAGCTCATGCTTCAATCATAATTATAAACCTGTAGGTCAGTAATGAATCCCATAACTTTTATAAGCCAATCGGATGTTTGATTATCAAGATATTTATGATTGGAATTTGAAATTTCAAAAACCGTTTTCCCAACGTTTTATAACACTACAGTCTGCTGGGGAAAATGAGTATGGTAAAACCGGTCATGCAAAGACTTTTACTTTTTGAAGCACTTCATGATCATTGTGAAGCACAATTTTGTTAGGGTTTCAATATTACACCCTATCGCAGACACTGATAACACGTAGGGCCATGCATCTCAGATATGGCATTGTTAAACAATGCCTTTAATCGGATTAATTTACCAACAGCCTACAGTATCAGGACTGGGTGGTGTTTATGATAATCATATTCTTCCCTCTCACAATAATAAATGAGAATCTTGTCAGGAGTCTTTACATCGGATCCATGCATGGTTGATGGCGGATTGGAATCCAATCACAAAGTCAATGCATACAAATAAAGCCAAGGCTTAGACGATAATAAAGGATCAAAGATGAAGGATATACAGAAAGAATGCAAGATACAGAAAGAAGAAGGAGGGAGAATCCTCCTTTACTGTGGAGCAAGACGAATCTGTAGAACACTACTCAAACAAGCGTGAAATATAACTCAATAAATGAATCAAAAGTAATCCCAGATTTGAGATAGAAAGAGTTCCTCCCAGCCTGCATCCATCTATGAGAAAGTGTTTAACAGAGTATGAATGTTGAAGCTTTGCATTACCATCACATCATCATGGATTTGATGAACTGATGTTTCTAGAGATTTTAGTCCAAATCCAAAAACAAATTATAATCGATTTCTGTTTTTCTCCTAAAGAGTACCCTATCTCTCGGGGCACTTATCAAAATATATTATGGAGAGCATTATTATCATAAGTCGATCATCTAAAAAGAAATGACCATCCTGAGTCAAATATTTTGAGAGAGTGACATTTTAGTAATTTTATGTTTTGAAACAAATGGGAAAGTTGTCAAGAATTACTGGTTTAGCGAATTTGAAGTGCCCACATGTATAGTGATTATGACTTTGAACAATTAATTACTTTCTTTCTTTCTTTTTTGGGTGCTGATTTCATTCAAATTTTCCCCATTTTGCTTCTAAGATTTTCCTGCTTTCATTTATAATTTAGATGTGTATTTCCCTTTAAAGAATGCTGAGAAATGATTTAAAGGATAATTTTAATTGGGGGCCCAAATGGAGAGGGGGGCGGTATGGTTCGTCTCCTCCCTTTACTAGACATGCTGCTGATACAGGATCAAAGCATCTTATATGGAAACAATTGAGAGCAAATTTGTAAACACATGCAAACATAAACAGCGAAGGAAATATCACAGTTATAAATCTTCACATGAATGTAACACATGACTGTCAAAAATAGTTGAATCCTCACTCTCTCATCGCTCCAAGATCTCCTTTTTTTTCCAAACTAGATATTTTTTTCTGATAAGATGATATATTGCCAATCAAGAAACGTCGCTATTGATCATTTTGTGCATCATATATCATAATACTCTCTCTCATATCAAAAAGAGATTAAATGTCTGCAGTCAAAAGTCATGGTGATTGCCAGAAATGATACGGGCACAATATTCTCTCAATTTTTGGAAGATATTATTTTCCATATTTGATAGAAGATGACTGTTAGATAGAAAGTCTTTTTTTTCTGACTTGTTTTTTAATTACAAGACCAAGCAAATAGTCTTTATTTACTGGGTGTGAGCCAACTTTTTTTAAAACAAATTGAAATTAATCCCAAGAAGCCTAACATTCAACATATATTGCCAAAACAAATAAGGACTGTTTTTTTCTTCTCCAAAGACCATCATCAACAATAAAATTTGCAGCTCATTCTTCTTGGTTCACTCTGTTCTTCATTTCATGACATTTCAACAAATTTCAACTATCAACAATTCAAATCTATTAATACAAGCATGCGACTCATATCAGCATTCTTTTGCTTAAAAATTAGAAGTTAATGAGTCTTTCTGCATAATTATCATGACATTGACATTATTCAGCATGTTTTCATATTGTGTTTTACTTTCTACAGCAATTAAATATTTCATTTGTTTCTCTTTTGATTTAAAAAAAAGAAGATTATGACTAATGTTATAGAGGGGAGTAGAAACTGGGTCGAGTCTTATCTGAAAATCATACCATTTCATCTCATTTGTTTTCGGTGCTGTAATAAGGATGGATGAGGCTAATAATGAATGAGCAAAGCTGTGAGGGTTAATTTAATGAACCAATATTTATCGAGTGTATCTGAATCTCTGCCGCACAGGAAATTACAGGTCAGACATCACAGTCAGACAGGTCATATTTCTGGGAAAGGGACCACCCTTTCACACTTGAGAACTAAGAGCTATCTTAGGTTGCTCAAAATAGAGTTGATTAAATGAACACATATTTATTTTGTGTATTGATCTGAATCTCTACTATACAGGATAATAGGATTCAAACATCACAGTAAAAATGGTCACACTTCTTGGAAAGGGACCCCCTTTTACACTTGAGCATTAAGAGCTATCTTAGGTTGCTCAAAATAGACATGATTAAATGAACAAATATTTATTTTGCAGATCGATCTGAATCTCCACCATACAGGATATAATGTTTCAGACAGAATGACCGAAAAAGTCACTCTTTGGCAGAGGAACCCCTTTCACAAATAAATAGAATTGCAATCATGTTAACCATCTGCATGCATAGTCGCCTATCTTGTACCCTTTTTTTTTAGCAGATCAACCGATGGGACTGTCGAAGACCGCACCTTTGGGGTAAAAGGTGCCTTTCACACTTGAGAATTAATAGCTGTCTAGTAGGCAGGTCAATAATGAACTGACTTAATGAAGCCACAATGTGTATCTGAATCTCTGCCAAACAGGATATTGCAGGTCAGACCAAGGAGTTATTAACTCGCTGGTCAGACAGAATGGTCAAACTGGTCACATCTCTGGGAAAGAGACCCCTTTCGCACTTGCGAATTAAGAACTGTGTCAGGTTGCTCAATGATTGTCATATATCTGGGAAAGATACCCTTTCACATTAGTTCATCAAGAGTTCTCTTTGGTAATTTAGTATCGAACCCCAGAGGCACATACAACTGCATCCAGGATGACTGGGGATTAATGTTAGTGGTCTAGTATTGTAAGTGCCTGTTAGCACAGTAGTTTGGTACCAGGTATCT